ATTAGTTAACTTCTATTTAATTTTTATTTTACATAAAATAAAAAAATTAAATATAATTATTATATTTTTATTAAATAATATATTATTTTATTTCGTACATTAACAGTACGGCTGATAGGTTAATAATATAATAATACAAAAATCAATTTGAATACGACTCTTAAAAATTAGTCTTATTTTTGTTGGGTACTATCTCTGTCTGAAGTTATTATGGGGTTGGTCAGTGTAACTCATGGAGCTACGCCGTCCACTTATATATTTTATTTTATTTTATTTTTTTTTAATCTGTATCAAAGTGATTGGCACAGTTTTTATCTACGTCATATTAGATTGGTCTTATTTTCTTATGGATGCTGCCTCTATATGAAGCGATTCTGGAGTTTTTATTTTATTTTTATTTTAAATATTAAACTATTTAGGTTAGATTTGGTAACTTTAAAAAAAAAAAAAAAAATTTATTAAAAATGTTAAAAATAATTATTGTATATTCATACGAGAAGAAGAGGTATTCATAAAAAAATATATATAAAAAAATTAATATACAAATATTAAAATATAAATCAATTTTGCGCCAACCTAGGTACTGACAAAAACCAAAGGCAGTGAAAGGAAAAAAAAAATATTTACATGTATATATTCACTAAGTTGGATGGTAAAGTTAGGCCCGTAGGGGCCCACCATGAGTCCTGTTTGATAATCTGAACCGTTCAATATGTAGAACTCGTTTAATACTATATGTCTGTAAAAAATCACGTCTATCGGATATCGATAATTGCATAATCAAATCAGTTTTGTATAAAAAATGAATGATGTTATAATTAATAGTTGACAAAAAAACTAATACGATCAGATAGCTATCGATATCCAATCAACGTGATTTTTAATAAGTATATAGTACTCGATGAGTTCTACATATTAAAACGGTTCCGATTTGAAAAACGGGACCCATGGTGAGCCTCTACGGGCTGAACAACACCGTTTAATCAAAACCTGAAAATGAGGCAATCTTTTCCCAACTCCTACCCGACCAACTGCACTGCCCAACCCGTACGGCCTACTTCACTATTTTCTCCTACACACTTATTTATACAATTTTTTAATACACAAAAAGTTAAAAAAAGTCAAAAAATTAACCTAAACATTCATATTTTTTTCCTCAATTTTTTAGTCCAACAATTCAAAAAGTGCGTTTATCTGTTTTTGTTTTTAAAAAAGTCTGTTGGTTTGCTAAATAATTTGAAAAATAAATTACTTGAATAAATAGTTTAATTTTTTCAAATATTTAAAGGAAAAAAAACTTGCAATTATGAAATTATTTAGTGCAAGTTAGGGAAGTTATGTCGTTCACTTATAACCTTTTTTTATTATTATTTTAAATTATATTAAAGTGTTTAGTAAAATTTTTATTTATCATTTTGAAAAATAAAAATAAAAATAAATTGATTATTGAATAGTCTTAAAGAAGTATTTTTATGTTCTATTATTAATTATCAATTCTTTAACTTACCAAAAAAAAAAAAAAAAGTATACTGAAAAGATTTTTTGTCGGATTTTATAATTGATTTTGAAAAAAAAAATATTATTTGTTTGAGGTTTGTGAATTGGATCCTCAAATGTCAAATCTCAGCCCGCCCGACCTCTCCCCCTTTGCTTCAACCTCTGCCACTTGGGTTGTGACTCTCAAACGTGATTAGATAAATATATATTCACAATATAATTAAGCTAAGATGGATAGGCGATAAGGTCGATGAGGGGATAAGCACAAATGTCAGCAATTCTTTCGATAAAACGACAGTTTTTTTAACAAAACAAATATTAAAAGAAAAAGATATTTAAAAATACGAGAAAGAAACAGCATCGACATTGAGCGTCCAAATGGACCACCCGGATCGCAGCTCCTCATGCCCCCGTGGCCAATGGCCGTGGCTAAGTTTGCCTTTTTTTTCTTTCTTTTTAATTCAAGTGGGCCCCTATTCTTTTCAAATTTCTGGTAACTTTCAAAAACTGTTCGGAACCGTTAGAGGCAGAGATAAAACAGCTCTACATTCAAAAACTTTGGATAAAAAACCAAACAAAAAGGGATACAAATAATTCATACTGAAAACTAACAGACAACAAAAGATATGCAAATCATATAATTTGTTACTTTAAGTCACTTATCATTAAATAAAATATAAATTAAGAAAAGAGTGTTTATTTATGAAAAAATTATTTATAAGTTCTATTAGAGAGACTTATATTACATATGATCCTACTAAAAAATTTATGTTCTTATAAGTCCAGTGTGACGTTTGTTGACACATTTATCCTCAATATTAGTTGTTAATATCATAAATAATAGTAAAACCATATATAGGAAATTGAATGTTACCATAGATTAAATTTGCGAAACGTAACGTGGTATCTGTATAAACGTAACGTAACGTAATCATATCAAATGGGACATTACATAAACGTAACGTGACGTGACACCTACATAAACGTAACGTAACGTGATACCTACATAAACTTAACGTAACGTGATACCTACATAAACGTAACGTAACACCTACGTAAACGTAACGTAACGTGTCACGTTACATTTCACAAACTTACTAGGTTTTTGATTTTTTTAATTGAATGTGAAAATATTACTTTCTATGGTAACATTTAATTTCTTATATATGGTTTCGTCATTATAGTGTATAATAGTATATTAATACCATTAATTTACAACTCGTACGATCTTGTGGAATACATTCCTATCTAAATAGGACTTGAGACTCTAAAAGTTTTTCTTAAAAAGTCCAACACATATCACTATTATGGAAATATTAAACTTTAAAATAATATAACTTTTGATCCAGATGTCAGTTTTTAATAAAATTAGTATTTTTAGAATCCTCTAATTAAAATTTATCAAATAATATCTATGTTGATTATGAAATTCTTAAAAAAAATATAAAACAAAAATTATTACCATCAAAATTGATGTAAATAGTAATATATTATTCTGTTTGACAGTAACATTTTACTCTAACAATATTGTCTAAAAAATATATATATATTTTACTTTATTCTTACTCAATTATGCACTTTCTCCTCAAATGATTTATAAAATAAAATAAATTGACTTGTCTTTTTCACCAAACAAAAATCTAATAGAAGAGCTTTGATAAAATTTCTTATATTAACCCTCACTCTTTGTACCCATCACTTCCACTCATAAGCCCTCTATATAAATAAATGCTTTAAGATTCTCTGTAATAGATTTTTTTCTACAATATTTATTGTTGTGGTAATCTAATTTTATTTTAGTTTTAAGGCAAATTTTTGACTTTGTACTTTAATGATGTGAAGTTATATATATATATATATATAAACTCTAACTATCTAAACGTTTTTTTTAGTCTTGTTAATAAGTGCCCAGGGTGAATAATAAAGACAAAAAGACAAAAAAAAAAAAAAAAAAAAAAAAAAAAAAGAAAATATATAAAACATACCCAATACACTTTTCACTCATTTTAATTTAATTTATTTTTTTTTTACAATTTTCGAAAGACTTTTTATACTCATCCCAACACTAACAATGTATAGAGAGCACTTTTAATTTTTTTTCCTTTTTGTGATTTTTTTCCGTTTAGGTCTCTATTATTAAGAAATTAACTCTAATAAAAGATAAATCATGATGATCATTGCCGTCGTCCTTTACTAACTGTGTACTTTAGTCAATTCCATTTTTCTATAGTGATTAACGAAAGACCCAAAAAAAAAAAAAAAATTATAGCAAGCAAGGGCTTTAGTAAGACTAATATAGTCAGGATAATAACTATTCAAAGAAGGAATTTCATGACGTCCTCTTCAAAGGACGCAAACTGCATCCCTTTTGACCCCTCCATATCAACGGTGAAGTTTCAATATGGAAATATTCTATGGTATAAAGGGAGTGTACTATATATATATATATATGCACTTCACTTATGAGAATTTATAATTTTAGTTATGAGGTTTTATGATTTTGATCAAATTTTTAGTGAACTTAATTACAAAGTTTTGTGATTTTTTTTTTTTTTTTTAAGACTCAAATTGATTTTAATTATAAAGCTTTGTAGTATTTGATTATGATCAAGTAAACAATTAAGCTAGCTCAATTAGCTACCCCTATAGACGTTTATTTGGAAAGTTAGGGTTTAATTTTTAATAAAAGTAAATATTGATATTTTTTTTCTTCCTATTATGAGGGACTTTGTTGCATTGTTTATTTCTTTTCCAAAATGAAGTTTTTTCTCAAGTAGATTAGTTGTTGAGCCAATTGTTTCTTCCTCAATATAGTTTCCGTTTGGAAAGTGGGTTAGCTTTTTAACTTTTTAGCTTTTTTGACTATTTTAGCTTGGGCTTAAAAGCTTGGTTTGGGAAGGACTTTTTGACTTTTTAGTTTTTTTGAGTTTTTTTGTGAGAGAAGAATGTAATGGTTATGGGTTGGATGTGATATTTTGTTTGTTATGGCTAAAATAGCCTATTTTATTTTTTGTGGCTAAAATAGCCAAAAAAACATGTAAGCTCACTTACCAAACACAGGCATAGAGATTTTTTAGATTGAGCTTATTGTTGAATGTTTTATAGTTATAGGACTATGATTATTCTAATATAATTATATTGAAAATAATCTTTTATTATTGATTGACAAAATAATTTATGAACAAGTGGCATATTATTATGAGAATAAAATCATAAGTTTTGTTATGAATGGAAAGGGAAGGCTTTTATATGGCTCAATTTAATGAAGTTTACAAGGCTAAAATTTTAGGTGTACATGGAAGCGCACTTGTCAATATATGTACACGAATGCAGCAATTAAGGCTAGAGGGTCAAAAGAAGCCTTGGCGGTTACCCGTTTTCACAAACGGCGTCTTGGTTTGGTCCAATCCTCATCGCGGCTTGCATTCATTTATTGAAACAACACAAGGGCACTATTGTAACTTCAACTCTTCTTTTGTTTTTTTTAAAGCCCAAGACACCACGAGAGAAAGAGAGAGAGAGAGAGACCCAGAGAGAGAAAAAACAGAGAAAGCAAGAGAGAGAGAGAGAGAGAGAGAGAGAAACAGAATTTTGAAAAACAAACAATGGGAGACGTTATTTTGTTTGTGGAGGATTTGAAATTAGCTCCTGCAATCCCGTCATGTAGAATCTGTCACGAAGAAGAGTTCGAGAGCTGTAAAAGCTTGGAAGCTCCTTGTGCTTGTTCTGGAACTGTCAAGGTATATATATATATATACATTTGGTCCTGATTTTGAATTTTTGTTGTATGAAATGTTCTGATTTTATGTTTTATTTTTCAGTTTGCGCACAGAGATTGCATACAAAGGTGGTGTAATGAAAAGGGCAATACCACTTGTGAAATTTGTTTACAGGTTTGAGTCTTTCATGATTCTACAGAGAAAGATGATCACGGGTCCTTTGTTTTTGATTTTTTGGTTTCCTGTTTTCAAATTTTAGTCGTTTTCTCAAATTTTGTTGTGGTTCGAATTGGGTTATAATTTGTCTTTTAAGTTTGAACCTTTTCAAAGCTCTGTTTGCAATCAATTTTGGTCTGTTTTTCACTTCCGAGTCTTCATATTTGTATTTTCTTTGAACTCTGTTCTCCGGTAGGATGTTATTTATTTAGAAGATAAATATAGAAATTAGAAAGCTTTACAATATTTATCTGGCTTTTTTTTCTTTTTTATTGTGAAATTATGAAAAATAAAAGTTTTATTTGTTTCTTTCAGACATTGACATGAAGAAACGTGTTGTGGTTTTTGTCTTCTTGGTTTTCTTGGTGACTAAAATAACCCATATTTGGCCGAACCTTCCTTTTTCTATCAAAAGAAAATAGATAATGCTTAATAGAGTTATTTACTAAATCTGAGTTCTTGTTTATTGAATTTGTGTTTCGAAAATATATATCATTTTTAAGCTGAAATTGTGTTTTAACTTATTATTAACTCTCTCGAGGCAAACACAACTTTTAACTTAGCTTGTGTTTTGAAAAGAATATGAGAAATCTAAGTTGACAAATTACCTATATGATTGAGAAATAAGATTCGACAAAAAAAATTCATGCTTAATACATACCTTTATAAATAAATATATATAGTGACATGTGTATATGTACATTCTTTATCTGCTCTTGCATCCAATGACAATAACTATAAAGCTACGCAACACTTTTTTTTTTGAATTCTCTTTATTGTATTTTTGTTTCCATACCAAGATTGTTGAAAGTTGAAAGTTTGAATTTTGAATTCTGAGAAATAAGATTCGACAAAAAAAAATTCATGCTTAATACATACATTTATAAATAAATATATATAGTGACATGTGTATATGTACATTCTTTATCTGCTCTTGCATCCAATGACAATAACTATAAAGCTACGCAACACTTTTTTTTTTGAATTCTCTTTATTGTATTTTTGTTTCCATACCAAGATTGTTGAAAGTTGAAAGTTTGAATTTTGAATTCTTATATTTTAGTCTTTATTGAAAAGGACATTTTGGTATATGGGTTACAGAAATTCGAAGCTGGCTACACTGCTCCTCCTCCCAAAAAGGCCCAGCTGGTTGATACTGTTGTGACCGTTAGGTACCTTTCCTATCGACTCATACGCGTAGAAATATATGACCCATGTTACCACCTGCGCACAATAGAATTTCAACCTTGTTCTTTCTATACGGCACATTGTCATTGTATAGAATCCTAGTACCATACAATGTCACCGATGATTCAATTTCTTACTTTACTTAAATTACAAAATGTTGATGAAAAATACTAAAAACTGATATTCAAAATTACGAGAATTATTGAAAAATAATAATTATCATTGCGCATTTAGGCTTGACATTCTTGCATTATCATTTACGCATTCAAATTCAATAATGCAATTTCAGTATAAAAACCAGTACAAACTCTCTCTCTCTCTCTCCCTCCCTCCCCTTATCAATGAAGGAACAAGTTTTAATCAATACACTAACTCTTTAATAAATGTCCCATGAAACTCCCACTTTTACTCAGTCAAATATCATATTAATGTCTCATAAATTCTTTGATTATTCAATTTAATATTAAAATGCACCACCAACAATTAATATTTTTTGGGAGTGGATTACAACTAATAATTACAATAATGAATTGTATAATCTCCGACTAGCATAAACTAACATATTTGTAATTTTTTAATATCATGATGATTATAGCGGAAGTTTGGAAGTTCCAAGAAGAGAGCGACGACAGCAAAATCCAGAATTAGTAGCCATAGCTGAAGGACAAATGCTTGAAACCAACTATTCAGAATGCTCAGAGGCAGCCGTTCGGAGCACCACTTGCTGCAGATCAATAGCTCTTATTGTAAGTTTTCTCAACAATTTTTTCAATTCAAAACACCCAAAGACTATTATTAGCATTAATTCAATGGTAAAAAAAATACCCAATGCCTATACTTCGACATAGAATTGTGTACTTGACTGCTCATTTCAGAGCCACGTGACAAACGTACCAATTGATTGAGGAATCTGCATAGATCTATGTTCAAATTCTGGAAAATGAATTGGATTCAAACCACATATAATGCTGGGCAGCCCTGTTACAAGGGGCAGACTACAGTAATTTTTTGTTCCTTAAATGGTTGTGCTCTGCCCTGGCACCAGCCACTATAACTATGCTTTGGCCTAAATCAGATTAAAATTTTTAACATACCACATCAGCTGGGTCCCCATAAATATGCTGAGTTTAGCAATGTGGGACATAATCAATCTAAGAGTTGGTTTGAAAGTCTTTTTTCTATTTCCTGAAGCAGTTAAAGTTCGTTAACTCAGCCTTCCATCCCCTCCAACCTCTAACCACTTACCAACAAACATAGATCACAATAAAATTGCTTTTCATCATCAACAAGCTTGTGATACATTTTAATAAGTTTAATTCAATTATCATTAGTAACGCCTTATTTAATTTGGAGTTTATTCTGTTGGATAGATTCAAATAAAAAATATTATTATGCACTGAATGTTTGTTTGCTATGTAAATTGGGCAGTTCACGGTTCTCCTGCTAGGGAGACACCTGCTTGCTGTGCTTACAGGAGGAACAGAAGATTATCCATTCACACTTGTCACTGTAAGTACACAACTTTCCTTTCCTTTCTTTTCTTGCCTTTTGCCCCTAAACATAAGTAATTTATACCTAATGTTTAATTTGAAAGTTTCTCTTTTTAATCTGGTGTGAATGCTGTTGTATTTGCAGTTGCTTATTATAAGAGCTAGCGGAATTGTTCTCCCAATGTACATATTCATTTGGATAATCACAGCCATCCAAAACAACATCACACGTCAATATCAGGTTAGTTTCCTGATTGATGCTTACTCAAAACAAAAACAATAAAAAAGACGTGTAACTTCAAATTATATGTTGGTTGCAACTCCACAATTGAGATGGAGACGTGAAGTGCACTTCTCTCAACTTCAAAAGCTAATCACTTGGGAGTTAAAAATGGTTTACTTTTCATGGTTAATTAATTGCAGCCATGCCTTTCATTTTTCTGTGTTTATTAGGTATTGGATGAAGACAGATTGAACTCAGACGATGATGATGACAACAGCGACGACGAAGAGGATTAACAGCACAGAATTGTAGTACAGTCCTAACAGATCTTCCTTTGCTTCCACTTTATATTGTGCTCAGAGCATTTTTACATATCTCAATGCTCATATGTGCGGAAATTCGCCCTTTCTTGTGGGCAGAAATGAAAATATTTTCAAGAAATTTTCCACTTGTATACAATACTTTCATTTGCCTCTCCAAATTATTTCTTACAGATTACATTCAAAATGAAAGGAAAGACAATAATATAATATAAAATTTAATGTAATACATGTAATATAGTTCCTTGCATTAAATATACAAGTTAGCTCAACAACCAACCAAATTTTGTACTGGGCATGGCCAACAACCTTTCAGCTTGTTTGTTAGAATTTCATTGCAAGTAGTTACAGTCTCTCCAATGGAGATAACAGAAGCAAATGTTCCTTGAGACCTCAGCATTTGACCACTAAAGTAAACCAACCAACATACAAAACGAGAATACATCTAATGGAAATGGTTTTTTTTCCTGAATTTGATTGCTGGTTAGCTTTAGATGTATCTCTGGTATCTTACACTGAGGGCTCTATGTCAGCCAGAAAAGTACTTCATCAATAAGTTCAAAACATCAAAAGCAACACTCTAATAACAGGGCTAAGAACAGCCTCATCACAACTCAAATTTGCTGCAACTTCAATTGAACATTGGATAGGACTGTTACCCTGTATTCCAACTCGACATCGTGTCCTCAGACCCCTTCCTGTGTTTACCATAAATCCCTTGGAACATTGCGAATCGGCATCAACTTTGTGCAGTGCAGTGTCAGGGATGTCCTGAAATGATGATGCTAGTAAGAATTGGAATTTCATTACAAAGTTGTGATGTGACTAAAGCAGATAGTAACCACCTCTGGTCGATGAATTAGAAGAGTACTAGCCTACCAGGGCATGTTCATCATAAGTCCTGAAAAACAAAAAAAAATTAGATTAACAATTAGCAGAATGTCCTGGTGATTAACATTTCTGATGGAAAAAAAATGCTTCTTAGATTAAAAAATTCAAGAAAGTGCAACAATTAATCAATTGGATGAGCTAATTTTTGCATGTCAACTACTAATGCTCTGCTGTTTGTGTAAGCTAGATGACAGAACATATAAAATAATTGCCAGCTAGTCGTGCATGCCATAGCTTTTAGGGCATGCACTAGGGGTCAACCTTGAAAGAAAGGAAACTTCCTCCAGACCTCCAACTCCATTTCCAACTTGGTACTTCACATGGCATAGGGAGAGACCTGGACTTGACAAAGAAGATTGATCAGGCAAAATATTCATGAACTGAAGGGGCTAAATGTGAAATGGGTCGGGTCCAAGCCTTGGGTCGGCCCAATACACTGAAGTCCGAATCCAAGTGGGCTGGATGAGCATATGGGCAAACCAATTAAGCCCAACTTCATGATCAACAGTCCACCCAAGTCCTCAAGCTCTTGGGCCCAACCCGCAGTGGAAAGGCTAGTCTAGCCGTGGCTCTAGGCTGGGCCGAGCTGCGAGACTGAATCTATGGACCGAACAGATGATAGGTCGAGCCCATACAAAGATACCCGAATGGACCAGTCCATCTCCATGAGTGATCCTGTAAAAGGCCGAGACAAGGCATAAAGATGCCGAGCTGAGGAACATCAGTACCGAGCTGAGGAAACCTCGCAAGGAAACGTGGAAGTTGTGAACGTCTGCACGTGCAAGTTGCCACCTCAGCTGGTCCCCTACACCTAGAATCACGGAAATTGTTGAACCAAAGGAATGTGGTTTGTTATCAGCATGACTACAATGAGTATATGCATTCAACGGCAACTACCAGGTGGTCCCCCACCATGAACAATGCTAAAAGGACACCTGGCAGCATCCAAGCTCCATGAACTCACCTTGAGAAACAAGCAAGGAACAATATATGTACAACATGAACTTCACATTGAAGGTAACTGAACAATTCCAAGCAAAAACTACAAACTCAACTTGATATACACTCTCTCCGATCACTAATTCCCACACTGGAGGGGTTATCCGGCCAACCCCGGCTGGGCAGCTCTAACGGTGCTTCTTATGGTAGGAATCTCAGTTCCTGGATAGTCCAACCGAGTGCAGGGCCCCGATCCACTTTCATCTAGTGCGAAATTCGGTACGCACAATTGGTGCGGTGAGCGTGGATCACTTCATCTCTGAGCTTTGCACTCAGTTCCGGCGATGGGGATTGAGGACATTCCGCCGTCGACACATACTCCACAGACGGAGAAAACGAAGGACAAAGGTTTGGCACTCCCAACAGTCCCGGAGGAACAAACTGGAAACAATAATCGAACCCCCGAATCCGTCGAGCACCGACTACCCTTCGTTGGAGGTTCTTCTTATCACTTTCTTCTGGAAAAGGATTATAGAGATCGCATCATAAACTCCATGGGAATGGAGATACAGGAGTTGAAAGCCCAACTTAAGAGGGTACTGGGCGATCCAACGGAAAAGAGGACGGAAGCGGAGCCCTCTCGTTTGCGACGGAGGAGCTCATCTAGAGAGCCACCAGTGAAGAAGTTCCCCAAGAATGAGTCTGGGCAACAAAGCCAGCCTATCCTGGTACAGAGTGAGGTAGCAAGAAGTCACACCCGTGGGTCACGCCGGAGAAGGGCCAAGTAGCAGAAGACAGTTAGCCAACAGGCTGAATACCCTCCTCAGGACCTTCATACTTGGTTGATTGGCAATAGGCAGAACAAACAACATCGGGATCACCTAGACCGTACTATTCACCAGAGAGAACACCGAGTGCTGGACAGGCTCGTCTCTTCGCCATTCTCCTCGAAGATCGAGACCATGAGACCTCCAAAGAAATTCACCCCACCAAAGTTCACTTCATACGATGGGAAGTCGGACTCGCTAACACATATTAGCCACTATAGATAGATGATGTCCCTATGGAACCGGGATGAGGCGCTGATGTGTAAAGTCTTCCCATCCAGCTTGGGAGAAACTGGACTTCGATGGTTCGATCATCTCCCCGCTGGATCGATCCATGGCTGGAAGCAGCTCTCCGAAGAGTTTCTAGCCAGGTTCGTCTCCAACACTAAGATCCCGAAGGAGCCGGATACACTGTTTGGCCTCTGAAAGGAGCAGGAGGAAACGCTGCGCAATTATGCTAGGAGGTACTGGGAAAAGTACAATAACCTGGAGGAAAATGTGTGCAGTGAGCAGATGGTCGTTATGTCCTTCAAACATGGTCTCGCCCAAAAAGTAAGCTGAGATAATCACTTACCAAGCGCCCGGCCACAGCTTTGAAAGACTTGCGTGCCAGGATTGAGCAGTACGCTCGCCTCGAAGACGATCAGATCCCCATCGAGGTAGCTTCAGCAGAACAAACAGCTCGGCACAAGAAGAGAACAGATCGAGGAGAATACCGAGGGATCGCAGTGAATGAAGTGGATAAGTCCAAATCCCACGAAGCCGTTGTAACTGTATTCAAAGAGCCAATCTATCGAATCCTGGAAAAGATCAAGAGAGAGCCCTTCTTTGTTTGGCCGCCGAAAATGTTGGAACATCCAGCTCGGCGCAATCAGAAGCTCAGATGCATCTACCACCAAGACAAGGGGCACATGACTCAAAACTGCAGGGCACTGAAGCAACACTTGGAAGACCTAGTGCAGCTGGACACCTGAGGGATTACATTGATCAGGATAAGAAAGTGGCCGAGCTGGGGAACCCACCGCCAAAACCAAATATTGAGCATCCACCTCGGCTGATAATAAATGTGATCCACAAGGCAGCGACTCAGGAATCTGAGGAGGCACTGAAGGAAGAGATCGCTAAGGCTGCGCAAATTCAGCGAATCATGTCAGTGGAGCCTGCATCGAAAAAGGTACGTACAGTATCTAAATCCCCCTTGTTGTTTCATTTACTGGCAAAGATTTAGAGGGCATACAGCACCCACATACTGATGCACTGATTATAACTGTGGGAATTGGGAAACGATTTGATGTAAAACGAGTCCTGGTAGATTAAGGTAGTGCAGCAGATATATTGTATTATGATTTGTTCAGAAAGCTTGGTCTCTCCGAGCAGCACCTCACCCCAGCAGCAGCCCCATTGGTCGGTTTCAATTCACAGCCAGAATGGCCGCTTGGCAGAATAGTGTTGCCAGTCGTGGTGGGTACAAAAACCCTCCAGATAGAGTTCTTGGTTATTAATACACCATCCCCTTACAACACCATACTTGGCCGTCCGTGGATTTATCGGATGGAGGTAGTCCCTTCAACCTACCACCAGCTCATCCGTTTCCCAACAGAACACGGAGTAGAGCAGATTTCAGGGGATCGAGTTGCGTCTAAACATTGCTTCATGGCAGCATTAAAGGCAAAGTAGCTCTGCAATCGGGTACAAACGGTAGAGGTAGACGAGCAGCCAATTTTGGAAGATGTAGGGGGAATCCCAGAGGAAAAGATAGTAGAGGATTTGGAGAAAGTCTTGGTAAAAGAAGATGACCCAAAAAAGTACTTCCTTATCGGTACCTCGCTAAGCGCCGATGAGAAACTTCAGCTGCTGGAACTGCTGAGGGAAAATATGGAGGTATTCGCATGGTCGGCATATGATACTCCAGGGTTGGACCCAGAATTTGCTTGCCACAAGCTCAACATCAACCCTTGAGCTCGGCCCATTGTGCAGAAAAGTCGGAGATCCTCAATTGAGCACACCAAAGCAGTAATTACCGAAGTCGAAAAACTCCTGGCTTCAGGAGCAATCAGAGAAGTTCAGTACCCGCAATGGCTATCTAACACAGTTGTAGTCAAGAAAAAGAACAAAAAATAGAGAGTTTGCGTTGACTTCACTTGCTTGAACAAAGCCTGCCCTAAAGATAGCTTTCCGCTGCCTCGTATTGATCAACTAGTAGACTCAACAGCAGGGCATGAGTGCATGAGCTTTCTGGACGCTTATAGCGGTTACCATCAGATACCACTGTTCGGTCTGGATCAAGAAAAGACAGCGTTTATCACTCCAAGGGGAACTTACTGTTACAAAGTAATGCCATTCGGCCTCAAGAACGCCGGAGCAACCTACCAGCGAATGATCACCCGGATGTTCAAGGACCAACTGGGAAAAACCATGGAAGCATATATAGACGATGTGGTAGTAAAAAGTAAGCTCGCTACAAACCACCTCACAGACTTGAGAGAAGTTTTTGGCATCCTAAAAAACCACCAGCTTCGCCTCAATGCCTCGAAATGCGCTTTCGAGGTAGGTACAGGGAAGTTCTTGGGATACATGGTCACTCACAGAGGAATTGAAGCGAATCCTGATCAAATCAGAGCAATACAGGGTCTTGAAGTACCAACAAAGGCTAAAGAGCTGCAGAAACTAATCGGTATGGCGGCCGCACTGAATCGTTTTATTAGCAAATCTTCATATCGAATGAAGCCTTCTTCCAGCTTTTGAGGAAAAAGGCAGCATTTGAATGGAGTAGCTAATGTACCGAAACACTGCAAAGTCTCAAAAGATACCTCAGCACACCTCCTCTACTGTCCACTCCAGAACAAGGAGAGGAGCTGTACCTCTATCTAGCAGTTTCAGATCATGCCGTGAGCGCAGTATTAATTCGAGAAGTTGACAAGGAACAGAGGCCTGTATATTATGTCAGCAAGACTTTACTAGATGCCGAGACACGGCATCTGCCGTTAGAAAAGTTAGCATACGCGTTGCTTATCGCCTCAAGGAAGCTGCAGCATTACTTCCAGGGGCATACCATTAACGTCCTCATTGAATTCCCCCTCAGATCTATATTCAGCCGAGCCGATTTCTCTGGCTGTTCGGTAGAACTTGGTGAGTTTGACATTCGGTATCAACCTAGGACAGCGATCAAGGCCCAAGTCTTAGCGGATTTTGTCGCAGAATTTGCTCCCACCCAGAGTACCGAACCGGGGGATCCGAGTTTGGCACAGGTGCCATGCACCATCAAACAAGGAAAACCCTGCGCTTCGGAAGCATGGAAACTCTTTATTGGAAACATCTGGTAGCTCTATGTTGATGGATCGTCCAATAACTGAGGCTCGGGGGTAGGAGTAGTACTTATTTTGCCAGAAGGATTTATCTGGGAATAGGCTCTCAGGCTCGGTTGGAAGGCTTCAAACAACGAGGCCAAGTACGTAGCGTTATTGGCTTGCTTGCGTAGCGCCGAACACTTCAGTGCAGAACAGCTTCTTGTTTTCAGCGATTCACAACTAGTGGTAAACCAGCTTTCTGGGGTCTATAAAACACGAGATGAAAGAATGGCTATGTATGCAGGCAAGGCCAAGGACCTACTCAAAAAATTTCAATCCATACGAGTGGAACGAATCAGTCGGGATAAAAATAGCCACGCTGATGCTCTGGCATGCCTCGGCTCATCAGTGGATACAAAGGATGCCAGAAAAATTTGGGTTGATTTTGTGCCAGAACCAAGTATTGCATCTCCAGTCCTCTGTAACAACTTAGAGCCGAGCTGGATGAATCCAATATTTGCTTTTTTGAAATCTGTCACACTCCCCGAAGACAAAAGGGAAGCCAACAAGGTTAAACATAAGTCAGCTCGGTTCTGGATCTCACCATCTGGGAAGCTTTACAGACGCTCCTATCTTGGCCCCTACTTCCTATGTGTACATCCAAATCTCGTCGAGAATGTTCTCTACGAAATTCACGACGAGATTTGTGGATGCTACGTTGGCAGAAGGTCACTGGCACACCGAGCCCTCACTCACGGTTACTGGTGGCCACGGATGCAACAAGATGCGCAGTAGTACGTACAGAAGTGTGACAAATGTCAGAGGTTTGCTCCACTTATTCATCAGCCAGCCAAAACTCTCACTCCACTCACCAGCCCATGGCCTTTTGGGTAATGAGGCCTGGATATTGTCGGACCATTGGGGCGAGGCACTGGGAACAGGCGATTCTTCATTGCTGCAACCGACTATTTTACCAAGTGGGTTGAAGTTGAGGTGCTGGCAAGTATCAAAGAGGCAGACACGAAGCGATTTGTTTTGAGGAATGTGGTGGTGCGTTTCGACATTCCGCGGGTACTGATTGCGGATAATGGAACACAGTTCGATGGTAAGGTCTTCAGAAAGTTTTGTGCCGACCTCAGAATCGAGTATAAGAACTCTTCTCCAAGGTACCCACAGAGTAATGGACAGGCAGAAGCATTAAACAAAACCATCATCAACGAAGTAAAGAAGTGGCTTGAACATGCAAAAGGCAAATGGGTTGAAGAGTTACCTCACGTATTATGGGCCTACCGAACCACAACACGGCGTTCAACGGGGGAAACACCTTACTCCCTAACTTATGGAATGGAGGCCATCATCCCACTCGAAGTAGGTCTCCCAACCCTTCGATCTGAATTATTTGAAAGCTCCAGTAACGAGGAAGCTATTGCACAAGCACTGTATATGGCAGAGGGCCGAAGAGAAGCAGCGCTGATCAGACTTGAAGCGCATCAGCAGCAGCTCATCAGAAGTTTCAATCAAAAAGTTTTCCCAAGGAAATTTACACCTGGAGAACTGGTTTTGAGGAAAGTTATGTGTCACAAAAGGGTGCTTGGCGAGGGCAAACTTGGGCCTAACTGGGAAGGTCCCTACAAAGTCACAGTTGTCGTTGGAAATGACGCTTACTACCTAGAGGATCTGAATGGCAGAGCTATACCTCGGCCCTGGAGCTTAGCAAATCTCAAGAAATACTATCAATAGACTTATCCCCCAACTTCTCTATCAGAATGTAAAGGCATTTATCTGCTGCCCAATGCAAATGCTTTCCCACTTTTCTCAAATTTATCAAATTCTTGTAATTAGCTTTGATGTTTATCAAACGGAATTAGCTTTGGTTCTTACCAAACAGAATTAGCTTTGATGTTTATCAAACGAAACATCAAATGGAATTAGCTTTGGTTCTTGCCAAACGGAATTAGCTTTGATGTTTATCAAACGGAATTAGCTTTGGTTCCTACCAAACGGAATTAGCTTTGATGTTTATCAAATGGAATTAGCTTTGGTCCTCACCAAACGGCATTAGCTTTGATGTTTGTCAAACGGAATTAACTTTGGCGTCTGCCCAAATGGACTTAGTTTCAGAACGACTGGACGGAATATAAATTTGGTTAGCACTCAAACATGCTAAATGGTATTGCTTGGTGGAATAATGTTTGGCAACTGAATTGGACTTTAGCCAAGTGGAATAGCTTGATGGAAACCACACTAACATATCTTAAGTAAACGTCTTTGAATCCACAGAATTCCTTAAGTACCAACACGTCGACACTTCAGTACTGACTCAAACAAGCAGAGTTGGAACAAGCATGACCAGGTTCTATCAGGGGTAAACTTCTAGCATTAGTTTTACTCAACTCCAGGTGGGGGCAAACAATTATTTTTCAAAACCAACCTAGACCTGAGTAAGACACCTCTTCATGCCTTTATCACATTCAAATGCCCTTATGCTATCAAAGTTGCAACAGACTTAAGCAGCTCTACCTAAAGAGCACAATCTTTAGTGTCAATCTTACTTAGCTCCAAGTGGGGGCAAACAATTGTTTTTCAAAACCAACCCGGATCTAAGTAAGACCCACTTACGAACTCAAGCACAGCCGTACCACATATCCGTTAGCCATACCGAGCATCAGTTCGGCCCCGAGGCCCCAACAGTGCTCGGCCGAGGGCAAACGGTACAGAGCCAGACCGAGCTCTATTCGGACCTGAGGTCCCAATAGTGCTCGGCCGCGGGCAGGCAGTATAGAAAACATTCAGATATAAAAGCCAAACAGCATCAGATTGCAAGTTCAAAAAGAAAATTCTATCATCCAACAAAAGGCATAAATGGCCTCATAACCAGCAGCAAAGAAAAGAAAAGTGAAAAGAAAAATTGTCTGGGCAAGTGCAGAAAGAAAGCTCGTCATGGAGACGGAGCCACAATACATCAAAACAAAAAAGCAAAAAAGTTTAAATCCTTTCAACATCAATTTTCATTAACAGAGGGCAACTCAAGAGCAGCATCAACAATTTTGTCCAGGCCGTCTGCGGGAGAAAAAGTAGAGGCAGCTCCAACTTCCTGAGAAGTAGAAGCCCCCTTAACCACATCCCCCACGGCTTCGGTCCCCAGGATTTCAATCCCTTCAACATCCACCGTTTCAACAGCAACATTACTGTCCTGGGTCTTGCTTGCAGAATCAGCTTCTGGGGAAACTTCGGTTGGAAGAACAGCAGGGATGGAAACAGTCTTCGAACCTAAGGATCAGCAGCTCTACCTAAAGAGCACAATCTTTAGTGTCGATCTTACTTAGCTCCAGGTGGGGGCAAACAATTGTTTTTCAAAACCAACCCGGATCTAAGTAAGACTCACTTACGAACTCAAGCACAGCCGTACCACATATCCGTTAGCCATACCGAGCATCAGTTCGGCCCCGAGGCCCCAACAGTGCTCGGCCGAGGGCAAACGGTACAGAGCCAGACCGAGCTCTATTCGGACCTGAGGTCCCAATAGTGCTCGGCCGGGGGCAGGCAGTATAGAAAACATTCAGACATAAAAGCCAAACAGCATCAGATTGCAAGTTCAAAAAGAAAATTCTATCATCCAACAAAAGGCATAAATGGCCTCATAACCAGCAGCAAAGAAAAGAAAAGTGAAAAGAAAAATTGTCTTGGCAAGTGTAGAAAGAAAGCTCGTCATGGAGACCGAGCCACAATACATCAAAACAAAAAAGCAAAAAAGTTTAAATCCTTTCAACATCAATTTTCATTAACAGAGGGCAACTCAAGAGCAGCATCAACAATTTTGTCCAGGCCGTCTGCGGGAGAAAAAGTAGAGGCAGCTCCAACTTCCTGAGAAGTAGAAGCCCCCTTAACCACATCCCCCACGGCTTCGGTCCCCAGGATTTCAATCCCTTCAACATCCACCGTTTCAACAGCAACATTACTGTCCTGGGTCTTGCTTGCAGAATCAGCTTCTGGGGAAACTTCGGTTGGAAGAACAGCAGGGATGGAAACAGTCTTCGAACCTAAGGATTTCGAAGGAACGGGGACATCCTGAAATAGGGAAGAGCCTTCAGGAACCAGCGCAGCAGCTAAAGCACTTGTCCAACCCTTTAGAAAGAGCCTATCTCGCAGCACTAGCACCTCTTCCTTTTAGGCCGCCCCAGCTTCATGCCAGCCCTATTGCCAGTGTTTGGCTTCCAGCGCAGAACGCTCAGCAGCCATTATGGCAATAACGGCCTCCAATTCGGCCACCTTCCCCTCGAGTTGAGCTTGTATCCCAATAGCAGCCTCCTTCGATTTTTCAGTTGAAGTGACAATCTTGTTCAAACAAAATGCTTCCCTCTTCGTGGTTCAGCGTCCCTCCTTCTATGTCTCCAAGCTTACCGACAGTCTTTCAGCGGTCATTGCGGCCTCCAGCACAGCCCTTTCTAGCTTTTCAGTACGGGTAATTGACAGATGCAGTCTCTGGATACACTGCAAAGGACAACGAGGAATTAAGAGAAAATGAGATAGCGACGCAACAATAAAAACAAGTAAAACGAGGAAACACTTACGGCAGTCATCATCTGAAGGGTCTCCTTCAGGATAGGAATATCACGGGGCCCATTATGGTCAGCCATGTCAACCGGCAACAACAAAAACTTAGTCAAATCAATGGCAAAATCTTGTGAAGCAACAACTGAATCAGAAGTGGAAATGGGCCTGCTCTCATGCGACATTGGAGACTCTCATTTCTCAAAAGCCTCACCCTCAACAGGATCCTCAGAAGTTTCCCCCACCATTGCTTTGCCAGCTGTAGACACCCCATTTTTGACCGCCCTTAAGACTTGGACGCGACTGATGGTTTACATGGTGGAGAAATGTGCAGGGGAAAGGTTCAGTTTCTTCGGCAAGGAGAGAGTCAAATCTCAACTTTATACCCTTTTTTGGACCAAAACAATCTTGATCAAAAGATTTTAGACCTTAAAACCCTCTCTTTCAAAACGATTTTGAAATGAAGTTTTTACGATGTTCCGAGGCTCGCATTTTGTCAAATGTTGCGCTTTTTGGTAAACCGAGCAAGGACAAAGTAGAAATGAATGAAAGAGAGATGAAATTATTGAAAAATCTTTCAAAACACTTTGTTTAGGGGTTTGGAGTCGAAGAAAAGAGGAAAGGAGAGAAGAAAACTAGTTTGGGAGAAGTTCGGCATGAATCCGGTTGGACTGAATCTGCGCGGCTTCACCAAAATAGGCGTAACTTTTTTCACAAGAGGAATTTTAATGCAAGTCTGGTGCCATTGGAAATCCAACTTCTGGGGCTTCAATTTGGACACAAGAATGACCTAAAAAGGAGTTCATATGAAGGAGTTATGGCCATTTGAAGTTGGACCTGGAAAGCAGAATTTTCCTAAACTAGCTGGCCGATCCGAAAAGGTGGTTGGCCGACCACCCTCTCCTGAAAAAGTGGTCAGCCGACCAGAAAAAGTGGTTGGCCAACCAGAAAAAGTGGCTGGCCAACCAGAAAGTGGTCTACAGGTCCCAAACTCAGATATTTATCCTCCAGCTGTCTTCCACAACCTCCAGCTGTTCCAAACTCAGTTTTTTTTGAACCAACTCTTGTATATGGCTGTATATGAGTTATATCTCTCATTTTCAAGGACAATCTTCCTAAGCAAGTTTTGGGAGCTTCTCACTCTAAAAAATCCCTTTCTCACTAAAAATTCCAGAGCCAAATCTCTGCCTCTCTCTCATTCTCTTGCCTTTGTGTGCATAGCAAGAGCTATACTTGGAGATATACCTCTCCTTTGCCTAGGCACCCTTGATCAAACTCCACTACCATTGGGCTGAGGTTCTTTGAGGATCATTTTGAGCTCCAAAATCTGGTTTTAGCTCAGAGTTTGGACCCCTTTTGCTGCTGTCTTCTTGAGCTTCAAGGGTAACACACCATTTCCCTCTTTTAAGCATTGTTTTGCATCATATCTTAGCCCTGCTTGTGAGCATTTTTGAGATTTTTCATAAACTTAAAAAAGTTTCCTTTTGAGCTTATAAATATGTTTACTTAAGGTCACTTTTCTGTTTGGGGTCACCTTCCCCTTTGTATGCTTTATTCCCTCATGCTTAGGGCTATGCATTAGAGCATTTGCAATGGCCTTGGTTTGGCCTTTTTGCCACTAGATTTTCAGTGGCTTAGATTTGTCTTTGAGCCCTAAAATTAGAGGGGGGTGACCCCCTCTCTCCTTGTCTTGTTTGTTGGCCTTTTTGGCCTTCCAAAGGGGCTCCATCTTGCATACTTTGAAGTCTTGTTTCAGGCCCTATTATGTGAGTTTTGAGGTTTGTCTTAGCTCTGTTCGGAGCCCCTTTAGCCATATTTTATGTCTATGATGCATGTGTAGAACAATTCCATTCAAGGCCTTTCAAAGAGGCCTTTTATTGCATGCTTCCTAGACCAATTTCAGGCTCTTTTTGGTGAGTTTTAGGGCTGTCATAACTTATTTCCAGAGGTGGTTTTGCCCTTTTGTTTGTCTATCATGTATGTGTAGAACAACCCCTCGCATGGCTTTCCGAAGGGGCTCATCATTCTTGCATGTGTTGACTGAGTTTCAGGGGTTATTTGGGCATATTTTGGCATGAAATACTTCTGTTTTTGGCTGGTTGGGTGAGCCCTCATATGCTTCATATAGTTGTAGAACAACTCATAGTTCACTAGCTTTCTTTGCATGCTTTATAGGCCATTGATTCTAG